TTTCGAAGTACGGAGGAGCTTGGGATAATATATTTTTGGACACCCATACAATGAGCGCTCCTTGCGGAAATAGAAATTCTGCGTCACAGTCCGAACAAACGAGCTACCTTAACACTGCACCAACCTGCTCCTCGATATATGTATGTTAAACATATCATATTTACCTTTATCGTTCTTCGTTCGCAAACGTCCCTGAACGCCATCGCCACTCCTGCCACAGACGGCACTGCCACCGAGGAAATTGGCACAACTGACAACGTTATTCGCGCCATTAAAACCGCTAGTGCGTTGAGAGGATGATATTCTTTGATCTGGTCCGAATATAATACCTAAATGTATAGAAGCAGGCGTTACTTAACACATGTCCATTGCTGTAACTGTAAAACTGATATCTAGCAACTTCCACATCCAGACAGTACATGTAAGAGCTTGCACACAAATTAACATGTACAAACAACAACAAATCTCGCAACCACAAGTCTATACGTGTTTTGCCCCTCCACGGAACTTCCTCAGGAGTTGTTACACTTTAATATGCCAACCACTCGGTGGTTGGTACAGTTTGGTCTAACGTAACAAATGTCGTGTAGTAAATAGCCTACCATAACATGTGAAATTTCCACAGTAGATTTTGCACTCAGTTTTCTACAACCTGACCTGCTATCGACTGTACCATTCCTGGTGCGGATCCGGTAGGTGCAAGTGGTTATATTATAGTGTCGAATCGCATCTCGCACTTCGTTTGACAGGCCTATCAGCCCTGCGATTCTGTAAAAATCCAATCCCGAAATTGAAATTCACTCAGGTATCCAAATTCACTGCAAAAAGCGGCATCCGCCCATAAAGTTTCGTGGCATAAGTGAAATGAGTTTCGAAATGACATAGAACCAGAATATCTAAGACACGTATATTCAATCGTGGCGCCAACTCATCTTCCACGAACATGTCTTGAGGCGGGTGTAGCCGCCGCTGCTGCAGAAAGCCTCAAACGGCGAAAATATTCACGTATAACAGGTATAAGTTATACCTACATATTTGAGCCGTTTGAGGTCGAAACGATGGGTCCGTGGGTCCCTGGAGCCCATCGTCTTTATCAAGAGTTAAAAAAGAAAATTTTTGACAGGTCAGGTGATCAGAAGGCTGGTTTGTACCTCGCCCAAAGAGTTAGTAGTTTAGCTATTCAAAGAGGAAACGCTCGCAGCCTTTTGGGTACTAAGGCAATGATCTGGGAGACATTTTTTATTTAGTATAGTTATTATTTTAAGACATAGTTTAGATAAGTAGTTTTAATTTATTAGACCTTTTAAAGTTATCATTATTATTTTAACAAAAGTGATCGTTATGTTTTGTATTTTTATACAAAAAAATGGAATCAAATTAATTTCTACACTCAATGACGTGAATTCAGACACATGTATGAATTCGAAATCGCGGCTGGAAAATATTTTACAGAATCGCAGGGCTGATAGTATAATTCAGAAGAGCCAATAGCTACAATACAATTTAAAAGTTTTAAAAAGATAAAAAAGTTCTCATTGCAGTCGGGAGAACGTTCTGTGGAACATTTGAAATCAAAGAAGTAACCCCCTGCAATGAGAGTTTTCTTGGACCAAGCCATGTTACAACTTATTTCTTTTTTTTTTATTCGGAAAACATATCAGCTTGGCTATTTTGTGAAAAGATCAGCGTCGAATGCAACGAAAACGCTGTAACAGCAAGTTCAATCAAATATAATGATGGACAACAAATTTCGGCCGCTTTTATTTCCATTATTTTTTTTTTTCATTTTTAAATGTTCGTGCGTATTGCCGCTTCTATTTCGATATTTTTTTTTCATTTTTCAATGTTCATGCGTATTGCTAAATAAATAGTTGGTTAATATAAAAATGTGTTATTTCATTTATAGATTAACACACAATCTATACAAAAATGTTTTTATTTACAAACAACTCACGACATTCGGTTTGGTTTGGTAGGTGGCCCTTTTTTATTGCCCACCGCAATAAAACTGACTACAAATAGTAATAAAGTGTATATTTGATTTAACTTCTATGGTACGATAGCGATTTGCCAGACGCTGGGGATCGATGCTTACTTTTATAATTTTAAACTATTAAAAAATGTTTCTACTACCTAATACTAATAATATTATAAAGAGGAAAGATTTTTTTGTTTTTTTTTTTTATTTTTTAAATTAGTGATTTTTTAAATTCTTTCACCTACGTTAAACTACATCATATGCGGCGAACATAGGCTATATTTTATCCCGAAAAACAGCAAAAAAAGAGTGAAAATTGGAGGTGGAAGTTTGTTTAAGGAATTTGAACGTTACCATAGTAACCATTGTTTATTATTCGATTTTTCATTGCATGATATCAATCAATATTCAAATAAACAGTTCCCTAGGTAACATGTGGGTAAAGCCGCTTGCGGAAAGCTAGTATGATATATTTTACTTACGTTTACTTTGAGTGACTTGTAACACAGCCAATATAAAGAACCATAGCGAAAATAGAACACGCCTCATTTTTGTAAAACCATAAACAAAATATGATGAGCAAATTAAAACAATTACATTTGTAAAATATATACAAATAAAACCGGCAATCGGTCACTTACACCACTCGCAAATGTTAAACAATAATTACATTATCATATCCAACAGCGTAATTTATGCTAGTCTGAAACAAATTTATTTATCGGTTGGTTAATGTAAACATCGGTTACTTAATAAAACAACCTGATATAGAGACACAAATATGTACTAATTTAGTAATAATTTATCATTTTTGCATGTATTAACACATTGATTACTTGCAATGTATCTAAATATTTTCGTTTAGAAACACTAAAAGTTCTCAAATGCAATGTCATTTGTATATTTTTTTAAATCGACATCAAAATTCAAAAGGAGGAGATCATATGTTCGACGGCAATGATTTTTTTTTAATTTATTTATGTTCCCCGTTTAAAATTTCTTTTTTTATTCGACAGCTTAATTTAACTAGGTGATGCCATTAAAATTTTATTGTAATCGATGAATAGTTTTTCTTTTTATAACAAAACAAAATACGCTTTTCGCCATATACACCTAAACGCAACTAAAAAAAAAAACAAAAGATTGCGTATTTTGAATTAATTCAAAATCCTAAAGAGGATTTTCTATGTTCAAGGAGTATGTATATTTTTAATAAAAGTAAGTATATCAATCAATTTGTTATTGAATTGTGAACCAATTTCTATCAAACTGTTTCCCCGCGACTTCGCATATGTCCAACGCGTATTATGTAGCTAGATTCCCGTGGATGAAAAACTTTTATAAATCGGTCCAATAGTTTCGGAGCCTATACAATGCAAACAAACGAGCGATCAAATCTTTCCTCTTCATAATACGAGTACACATTAAACTCCATCACATGCGGTGAACATAGGCTATATTTTATTCCGGAAAACAGCAGACAAAGAGATGAAAATGGGAGTTTAAGTTTGTATAGGGTATGAAAATGTAACCATGGTAACGGTTGCTTACTATTCAGTAATCCTATAAAATATTAGCCTAAAATTTGATTAATAAACCTACAGAAGACCTCAGCCCGACTTCAACAGCGATTTCTTGAAAAAAATATTTATTTTGTAATTTCACTTGAAGAAACTATTTAAACAATATCTGCAGTAAGCTAGAGTCATGTTAATTATAACAGAATAACACTGCTGATCTCAAAGAAAAAGTCGTGGTCGATCTTATAGAAGGGAGAAAATAGCAGCTGAGTTTGTTGCCAAGGGGCCAATTCTACTAAATAAATTTTGTTTTAATCGAATCGAAAACGGATAGAAACCGAACGAAACTACAGTTTTTAATGTATAAGTGTGTATAAGAATTAGTTGTGTAGCTGCAAAACGATGATGTTGAAATAAACAGACCGTTAAGTTGCTTTGAGGATCCAAGCAAAATGACGGCGTTATTATTAAACAACTTCAACAAAAGGACTTATTCTTTTTTCGAAGAAAATATTTGTATGTATTTTTTGCAAGGAATGTATCGCACTAAAATGGATAGAACAGCAACTGGACTATTCTATAAAGAAATGCGCGTTATGCTCAAAAACACCGATAGATTTTCCATTATTGGTTCCATCTATTAGGCAGGCCTATGCCCCAGCGGTGGAAAAGTTGGAAACCTAATGATGATGATATAAAGGTGGATGCTCACTGGCAGATTTTTTATTATGATTAGCTTAAGTCTCCAGGATAACAGGCCAGTGTGCTAACAGTAGCCTTGGACCACGTGGACGAAGCCGCGGGTTGCAGCTAGTCTGTCAATAATCAGAATACAACAGAATCGGAAACATACTAGCGCCTGCTTAAAAACTGACACCCGTTCCCAATAATCCATCTTTGAGAAGCGATAGATTGCTTCCAGCTTATTGCGTTAAGCTGTCTTGTTGGATGCTCAGTGCTTTCTTTTCATACAAGAATCTACTAGCAGTACTCATATGCGCAATCCCTCAACCAGTGTGTACGGGTTAAGATAGTTGGCTTTTTAGTAGGATACTAGTATTTATTCTTTTCTAAATACCTACCTGTGCGTTCTATGTAAGTATATTGCTATGGGCTTAGATGAAAGGTATTTGGAAAAGAATACATGTGTCATATTAGAAATATTGTAAAATAATCAGTCTTATTTTTCAGAATTAATAACTTGCTGCAGATATTCTCGAAGTATGCCACATACAAAGTCAGTAATTAAGGTATGAAAAATACATTCAATAAAACAAAAAAATAGTACATAATTTTTATATAGAAAAGTATATATAAAAATATAAAATTATAACTACGAATATCTAAAAATATGTACAACTCTTACATATAACTTTTCCGTAAACTTATTATCTGTCTGTATTTTGATAATAATATCAAAATTACCTATATCACAAATAAATGATATTCCTTTCTTTAAATATCAAGGAATTACTAATATTCGCCAATCGCATACAAATTCTTCAAGTTTTTGTACAAACCATTTTACAGGAATAAGAAGTATTTTCTTTCATTGGTTTTAAATTTGTCGAGAGCTCTTGGTTATTTGAAGCAGATTTTGCCATATCGGACCCTGAATCTATTGTAGATCTTGATTTTTGCTGCGCAGCTGCAGATCCTAGTCCAGCTAATCTAGCTTTCAATGCTTCCCTTACTTTTGTCAAGAAAGAATCGTCTACGATTCGCGGCCATGAAGAAGATTTTGGAGTACCGACATTTACTTTCTTAGAGTTACTGTCAACCCCTAGTTTTACATTTGATGGTACTAAAGGAGTTCTTTGATTAACTGGCTCTTCGGATGATGTTAACGATACTGCATCAAAGGAATTATTTAATTTCGATTTTCTAAATTTGGAATTAGAAGATGGTTTTGATTTTAATATTGAGGGGACAATTTCACTTACATCTTTAACTGACTTTGCTGCCGGTTTTGATCGTATCGGTATTCTCAGAGGAGGTTTCACGTGTGTATAGTTTAACTCACTTGGCGATTCATTAGCATCACTCATTGATTTCAACGTAGATTTTTTTCTTAGATCATTTTTGTTTGGTAGTAATAGCTTACTTTTAAATTTTGGGATTTTCGCAAGCGATGGATTTGTTTTAAAATTTGGTCTAGGTGTAGTCTCAAAAGTTATCTTCACTTTATTTTCCTTTAACTTTGTTTGTAAGAACGGTTTACGTGTTGAAGGAGTTAGAGGTTTTTGAAAAATGTCTAAAAGAGGTTTATTATTTAAATTGAGGTGTGGAATTTTTATGCTATTCTTTTGAGGTAATTTTAAATTAGGTGATTTTATTTTTGACACAGGGTTTTCAGCAAACTTAGGAGATGCTATACTTGAAGCGGAAGTAATACTTTTTGCTCGCTTTGGTGCATTCTTGTTTCGAGCTGACGGTCGGGTATTTTTAGTTCTTTTTGATAACTGTAAAGGTTTTTGTTTGGTCTTTGTGTTGCTACTTTGCCTAGCCACTGGAGATCCCAGGTTTGGTATGTGATCAAATATATTGTTACGTAATGTTTCAAGCCTATCTGAAAAATCGTAACGAATACCCTTTAATTTGTCACCAAAATCTTCATGTTGTCTCGATATTTCTTCAAGCAAATTAGTATTTGTCAGAGGATCTCCTAAAATACTGTTACCAGACAGCCCAACTCCTTTAAGAGTAGTTTTGAAATTTTTGTGAAGATCGTTTAGAGCATTTTTAGACTGCACCTTTATATTTTCTGAAAGCACTTGACCAGAACGCAATGTATCTTCAATAATATTCCTACCCGTTGTTTCTAATGGTGTACTTAATAAATTTTGAGCATTCTCCAAAATATGCTCATGTAACTCATCAAAATTTGGTAATATTATTGGATTCCCGAGGATATCAGGTACTGTATTTCGAGTACTAGGCATAAGACCGATTCCCTCGTTGTCTTTGCCAAAACTCAGCGCAGCACCGATCAAACCTTTATCATTTCTTACCGATGATTCTAACATTACAGGTTTTAAAGATAAAGCATTTGGCACAGGTAATTTAGCCTTATAGGAATTTAAGTTCAATCTAGGTAATATCGGCAAAGAATTTTCAGATAGCGCAAGAGGTTTCAATTGAAGTATATCCAAGTTTATATCTTCTAGAGGCTTAATTGTTGGTAGTAAGGACCTTGAATTGGATGTGCTAGCAAGAGTGGACATATCTAAGTTTCCATTGGATGCTATATAATTTCTTTCATTTTTATTCTTATTTGTCAAAATATTTGGTTTATTATATAGTGGTAAAGGATTCTTGAATAATTCAGGGAAATTTACAGTTGGTGTGTTAAATAAATTATCCAGACCATCTAACAAAGATGGTAGGGGCTGCACAACTTGAGGTGATAATAATGATTTCACTATAGGATTAGGTATCATAGCACTACTCGCTGGTTCACTGGCTTCCGACATCATTTCATTTGCTTTCGTAACATCAATTTGTATTTCTGAATTTTTCTTTTGTTTTAATATATCAGTTAAGCATTCATTTTTGCTTTCACTTGTCATTTGATTTACACTATTTGTCCCCAAAATATGAGTTTCTTTGGGATCCAAATCATCATCTGACACTGTCATCATGTTGTTTGCATTTTTAGTATCCTTTTCGTTGATATCAGATTTTAATTCTCTTGTTTTACTATTTTGTTCAGCCAAAGCGTTGATCAAAACTTTCTCTGTTTCGAGTAGTGAATTTGACATCTGTTGAAGATCGTCAATACTTAAATCACTAGAGGCATCTTTGACTTCTTGTACACCAGGCGATTGTTGAGAAGTATCTTTCGGTAAAATCTGCTGTAATCGTTTCAAAAATTTTTTTCTAAGTGGGAATAACTTTGTATCTTTTATGTTTTTATTCAAATCAGACTTAAACTTTTCAGTTTCATTATTTTCAGGTTGATTTTTGACAACATCTTCAGATTCTGATGATAAGAGGGATTCTTCAAAATCTTGTGAATCTGCACCGTGTGAGTTCGGAGCAAAACTAGCTTGTTTGTCGAGTACAGAAATATCAGAGCTTTCATTGCTTAAATTTTGGTCTCCTATTGAATTTTCACCATCTGGTTGAAAATCCTCACCTTCAATAGTTTCGCCACTACTCGTATTCAAGTTATCTTCTTTTGAATCTGCATTTGTATTTATAAAATTATTTGTATTTAGTGAATTATTGTCAAATGAGGATTCATCTTTTGGATTTATTGAATCCAATTCAGTTTCTTCTGAATTAACTTCTTTGATTTCATTTATTTCTGTTCTGCTTGGTAAAGAATCTAAAATTTCAGTTTTGATATTTGGATCTGTTAAGACATTATTTGCGTTTTGATTTTCATCGAGGACATTACTTAAACATGAATTAGGGTCTTCTTCAGCGACTTTTATTGAAGATGAACTTGGTACCGTATCAATTATTTCGGTATAAATCGTTTTCCCTTTATTTGGCATTGACTCTATATCTTCTACATCTTTGTTTTTCATATCGGAATCCTCTTCAATTGTTAATTTTCTTGGCATACTAAATAAATTAGGAGGGAGAAATTTTCTGGTATTTTCTAAGTTCTTTATCACATCATTTAACAAGTCGTTGACTGATTCGCGTTTTTCAGATTTTAATTTTATCGCCGGAATTTGAAGCTTTTTTATATCAAGTAATGGTGGAGTTATATCAATCTCTTCATTGGTATCAATATTTGTTGTATATTTCTCAGATTCTTTGTTTAGTTTATCATCACTCACATGTGAATAATGTTCTATTACATTGCTTGGTGAATGTTCGTTTTCCGTGTTCGACAGATTATCCATACTACTGTGTACATCAGTATTAAGTTTTGGTATAGTACCTAAAATTTTAGATAGCACGTCTTTGCTACCTATTCTACCATCAACGTTATTAGTTTTTTGCCTAGAATTATAAGAAAAGGTTTCTTTAATATTATCTAAAACTTCATCTAATGTTGGTACATTTACATTACTCTTCTTTAAATTGGTGTTTTCTGAAAAAATGTTTAATAGATCGGCTTTTGGCTTAAGATCTAATTTGTTTTCAGGAGATATAGGAATTAACTTCTCATTTATATTGCTTGCACCAACGTTGCTATCCATATCTACTAAATTTTTTTGTGTTATTAATCTTTTCGGTGGAAGTTTCAGAATATCTTTTAGAAGATTCGGTGCATTTAGTGATGGGATCCTTTTAGAGCCAAGCCTCTCCAATAATGAGACTTCTCCTTTATCAGTCTCTCCATCGTGATCAATTAATGCTTGCTTAGGACTTACTATGACAGGCAACAATTTGTTACCATTTTCGATAAATATATCTGGTTTTTCTGCCCTGCCCACACTACGAGCAGCATCTCTCGCTAATGCATCTTGATATTCTTCATCTGTTGCTTCACGTAATGTTTCTAACACTGAGGAAGCAAGATCTACTTCTGGATGAAGAAGTCGTTTAGATTCGTCCTTCTCAGCATCTGAACTGAAACAAAAATTATGTGATTTTTTTAAATAACAAAAATAAAGTAATTTCTTAATATGAGATCATAAGTACAAGTAAAATACTACAAGACATAGATCATAATTTAATTTAAGAAAATAACTCTTTGAAATATTTATCAGGCGGTAAGATTAATAAATAATAACAGTATCCTCTCAAAAACTATAGCCTCACGCCTTAATTCGACATGCTTTACCATGACTAAATCAGTGGAATGCTATTGTTTAGAAAAAATATCACATACTTTACGTAAGGCCGTATAGCACGCATTGCTGTCGGAAGGAACATCGATGGCGACCCCGTGGAATCAGCGTCTCGAAACCTGCACGGACAGTCGTCCACAAAACCCTGAGCCGCACGAGCATCGGACATAGACGTGCCAAATGGTTCCTGGTCTGCTGGTGCCATCGAACGAAAACCGTTGCGAAATAGCTCTTGATTGGTAGCAGATGTGCGAGGACTGCCGTAAGATTGCCCAACTTCACCGGATTCTGGACAAGGGCAGCATCGGCGTGCACTCGACGGTTCAGACACATTGTCTGTGAATTCAATAGCCTTCGGAGAGACCTGGATAAGAAATATTTTTTTCTTATTTTCTGATATATAATGACGAAGTCGGATGTTTTGTGTGAAAAAAAGAGAATGGAGACACGGAAAAGTAGTTGAATCTGCTTACATATATAACGGTGCGTCATACCACCGACCGTAACCGACGGATACTCAGGACGAAAAACGTCCTAGGAAAACTTTTTGTCTTGTAATTTAAAATTTTGTGTTATCCAATATGCTATGTCAGTTCGTCTATCGTGAACATGATAATTTAATCATATAAATCTAATAATAATAAAGTTATTATAATTTAAATAGGAAAATGTAAATCTAAAAGTATAATATCTTCGTGAAATATGTAGCAAGTTTTGTCTATTATAGGAAAACCGAGAAACGAGCATCGAACCCGTCACACATCTTAAAGGGTTTGAAAGAGTTTTGGTGGATTTATTGATGCTTGATTGATGTAGTTTAGGTAATTATTCTTCATGAAAATGCTTAAAAAATCCACTTTGTCCCTGGCACTCTGAGATGCGATCATCTAAAAATATGTTTGTTGTTGTTTAGAGGTTTAAACTGTGCGAAAATATGGGAAAATTGTGATGAATTGAGTGAAAAAATCATTTTTCCCATATAACCTGTAAATTAAGATAGGTGATACTAAGTGCATCGGGTCATCTAGTATTCCAGTAATTTCACAAATCTGCTAAGTAATCTATAGTAGCTCTATGGAACTAATCGTGAATGGCACGATGCGTGCCGATGACTTCATACTAATATAAGTATGAAGTAATCGGCACGCATCGCATTCTTTGCTGATATTATGCGGGCGTTACGCATAGTGCTATTCACAAAAAGCTATGGAAAAAATTGTCCATGACGTATTAGTAGAAGTACGGATTTGATTATGTAAATTCTTTCACCTACTGACAGTGCCTATGGAAAGAAAAATCAGACGCAGCTAAAACCTTTATTATATACGAGAGCGAAGACGCGTCAAAACTAAAACAGCTAGTATAAGAAGAATATGTAGTCAGAATCATATGCATATTTACTTTCTTATATTCTCTCTAATATCGGAGTTAAAAAAATACGAAGATATCTATAAATACATTGCTACTTTATGATATTATTGTACATGGAGGCTGATGATCGTTTTTATGAATATACCTACAGTACACTTACTACTAATAAAATAAACACAGGTATGTTAATAAAAAAATATCATTTTTAATATTATATATATTTTTTTTTAATAAATCATTTGTGAACATGTTCTATTAACGATATTAACCGACGATTTTATTGATAGGTACAGATTGATGTTCATTTTATTCACATTATCTATATGAAATACAAATGATACGAAAATTTTATCCCGAGAAATAGTAATAGACCTCATTATTAAATACAGAAAACAGCACGTCAGTTTATATAAATATATGAAAATCCACCACCTGATTTTAATACCTTAATGCATTGAAAGTAGAGTTTAAACGAGAGAAAAGAAATTGACTTATTGTGGTAGCCGTACAGCGTGTACGTCAGTGGTGTAGCGTAGTTGGGCTGGGGGAGGGCACTTTTTAGGAGGCGTCAAAATTTCACAGTAAACAATAAAATATTTTTTTTAAATATTTGAACCAATTCATATTTTTAACGCAACTATAAATTCGGACCTAATGAAAAGAGCACAGAATTTTTCATTACTTATTCTGTGACGAATTCGGAGAATACTCTGTCTTTAAATGATATTTTGTAGGGAATGACAACACCATCTATACTGACTTTCGCGAATGCCCCATATTTTTTTTTGTTTGGATTGTTTATCTTTATGAGCATGACGTCTATTACATATTTATTAAGTTCATTATCGATTATTAAGTCCCTTTAAGAAAGTACGTGATGCTTTGACAATTCAAAGAAAGTTTTAGTCGTGGATCTGCAGTTGTTTGGTTCATATTTTATTTTATTTCAAATCCTTTTTTGTTTTTTAAAAGACCATCTCGCTTTTTAGTATACAAATCCTATTAATTTATATATTGTATAGTATAATTATATAAAATACCTAATTAAGAGGGGCAGCAATATTTTCTTATGCCCCGGCCGGCAGACACTCACGCTACGGCGCTGGTGTACATTCAGGGAGCGATATTCAACCAACGTCTATAAGTTTCCGTTTGCACAATTCATTTAACTTTCAGTGAAAATATCAGAGCGTTTGTTGTAAGTTTTTTGTCGCTTAGGTACGTTAGATCGCGACCGCGTTAAGATGGAATACGGCTCAGGGTCCCTTGCTATAACTATCGAGGACTACCAATTTCCATACAAATTCTTATCGCGCTCACCAGGTCCGTCTTAGCAAATTACAAACCCCGCAACATGCAAACGCGTCAACGTAAAACTTTGCTGGAATTTTGTAGTAATTATGTATTTATGTATATTTTTTATGTGTGTTATGCATAATGGTAACACTGAAGACTGTTGGCATTATGTATTATAATAAAAAGTACTGGCAATTTATCGTTCTAACTGTGTACAATCTAGAATTTTCACCCACTGGTACTATATATTATTGGGAATTTTCACTATTGCTTTTGATTCTATAGCAGTGTTGGTTAAGTCTAAGTTGAATAATTTTACGATAGAATTAGATTATTTGGTTTAATAACATTTCTGACCCGATTATACGTTTATTGTAAGACAAAAATTGCTTTTTTTATATATTCAGTTAAGAGTTGACACATGTTAAAAAAGTGAAAAAGAGGCACAGCTCCAATTTTAATAAAATGAAAAAAAAAGGTATAAGTATAGATGATGTATTTTTAACCGACTTCAAAAAAGGAGGAGGTAATCACTTCGACTGCCTTGTTTTTTCTGTTTGTTACCTCATAATTTTTTACTGGGTAGACCGATTTTGATGATTATTTCTTTATTTGAAAGCTAGTGCTTGCTGTATGGTCCCATTTTAATTTGGTCCAGATCTGGCAATAGCACCTATGAGAAAACCATATAAGTTTTAATTTTGCATTAAGTATGCGTGATGTTTATTACCCCAAAACTCAAAATATCACTAAAATGCATAAAATAAAAACTTTTTATAATAAATGGAACTGCTTCAAATTAAAAAAGTGAAAAATAATACTTATCTTAAATGCGGTTAATTTTTTTTAAGAATCATTCAAGTCGGGCGGTTAATGTTTAATTAACTACAGAAAACCTCAGCCCGACTTAAATTTTTCTTAAAAAAAGTTACCGTTTTTAAGATAAGCATTATTTTTCACTTTTTTTAATTTGAAGGCAGTTCGATTTTTTTATAAAAAGTATTTTTCTTAAAAAAGGTAAACCAGCAAGTTTTTTCTTACAAAAGGTAAATTAGCAAGTAGGTACTCACCGGTCCCCATAACAAGGATACACACAAAAAACACCACCACCTCATTTTCCACCATCAGTCTTCAAGTTACTATGAAACAATTATCACAGATTCTCTGATATATAAAATATCCGTAGAGATCGATAGAGATGCTGTAGATTATATTATATTAGGGATGCCTCTATAAAAACAGTATTGTATTTAAGAATGTAAACGTTGTATTATTTAAATCAAAATGAACGACATAAATGAGTTTTTAATGCAAAATTAATTAATTTCGTCCTTTAATCTATAGTTACATATACTCAACTACACGCCATCTCTTCCTATCCTGGTTTTTGATAATCCAGCTTTTTTATTTATTCAAAATTAATAACGTTTAATGTTATAATATAATTTTGAAACGTCTTATTTTCGCTCTATCTTAATACAAATAATAAGTTGTGTAGATAATTTGTTTATAAAATTCCGTAACATTCTAACTTAATTAATCTTATGTACCGTTACAATCTAATGTATCATATAACTAATTGGATATAATCCATTACAAATAATAAAATCAGTCATAGTTTCAGTTATTTGAAACTATTAAATTTATATATCAGAGATATCATTGTTCGTAATGTAAAATACTTATTTCCACATTAGTATAAAACGATAACTAAATTAGTATTGATTTAATACATTTGTAATATATACCTACAACTTATGTTTTGTATGATTCGGTATTATGTCAGTTATTATGTTTAAATGGTATAATATATATTTTTAAACATTGTCAAATATGGCAACTATATAAAATTTAAATAAAAAGTATTATCTAAATTTTTTCATTGTAAATCAGTGTCAACAGTTACCTTTGTAAATCACAAGGGTCTGCGTGAGATATAACCTATCTCACGCACACCCTTGTTTCTTAAAAAAAAATACCGCTTTTAATCTATATATAACAATATAATTTAAGTGAACAACTAAATCTGTTTCACAGATAGCGAAGTTCCTTATTAATTGAAACGCTATTGCGGCACCGTTCAAAAGAACTTATGACGCGACGACGGCAGAGCCTCAAATCGTTTTCGAGGCAAAAAAAATAAATAAATACAAATAAAAAAGATCCTATAATTTTACTAATATGGTTTAAGAAAAATTATAGTAACATTTAAAAGTTAGCTAACACTATTTTTTCATTTCACTAATTATTATTGTGCCAACAAAGTGTCAACCCTAGATGATGCAGTAAAGCACGTATTCAAAAAGACGTGCTTTTCTTCACAGATAGTACGTTCATGTGATAACACTATATTTGCTATCTAATATACTAATTGTAAACTTAAACATATGGCCCATATATTATACTTACATAAATTTTGGAAATATTTTGACTCCCGAAGTAAATGCTGGCAGATGATTTAAAAACAATCAGCGATCGTAAATAAAACCTATTTCAAAAAATACTTCATTAAACTTTTATAGCACCGCTGTTCTCGACACTGAATTCGATGCTGTTTTTTTTGTGCTGTGCTCGACGCTGATTTTCTTATAGAATAGCATTGCTACTTGCGAATGCTATTTTACGTTTGACAGATACCTATGTATTGTTGCATGTTTAGATAAATAAAATCTACCAATAATTAATCTAATAGGTAATGTAGGATGTACACTCAGCAGCATATCAGGTTAACATAAAATATCAAATTTCCGTAAACGATTGTGTAGTGCCTGGACATTTTCACTTGTGAATAAATTTCATGTTCGAAGTGGGATTTTGTTATTTAAATTATAACTTTCAGTATTAATTAAAATAATATTGGTGCAGATATTATTATTTACAAAAAAAAATTTTTGCCGCCATGTGGTCTTGTATTAAAAATATATATCTTCCTTTTGAATCATTTTGTATAATGATGCATCATAATCCGCTGTGTAGTTTAAAAAATCTCAGTGTACAAACGGATAGCGAGAAGCGATTGTATTTTATACAATGTATTAATATTATAGACTAGCTTTCTGCCAGCGGCTTGGCCCGCGTAGTCCGTTGATACTATAGAGGAATCATATAAGGTTGGGTTGGTACCTTACTTATAGATCTAAACTCCGCAACGGGCCGTGCAGCAGAAATCGTAATATTTTAATTTCGCCATAACTTCAAAACCAAACATTATCTCTAATCTCCGAATATTATCTACATAAACTGTACTTAGTGATGAAATAATTTATTTTGATAAGGATTAATAATAAAAAATATCGGCAAAAAGTCCGCGTTACACTATACCTATGTCGAGTGAGGCACAACAACTAATTTTTATTTAGAAATCTTAAATTTTTGACGTGGATACGTCTATGTTTTCGTTCTACAGGGGGTCATTCTGTGAGCAGGAGTATATGCACTAACGCCATCTATTGGCGTATAAATGAACTATGCTTGCTCTGCAGGGGGAGGGGCATTCTGTCAGCAGGAGTATATGCACTAACGCCATCTGTTGGCGCTAGTGAATACTTTTTTCATTCAATAAATGAACGCAACGAATATTTATTTATTTAGTATTTAGTGTCTTCAATTTTTTATTTTTTTTATCAATTACTCATATATCCATTCATACATAGACGTATCCACGCATAAAATATGGCTGTATCAATGATACAGCCAACCAGGGTTTTTTTGGACTACATTTAAACGCGTTTATTTTACTCGTGTTATTACGAATAATAATTTATTGTTTATTTATAATAATTTATTGTTTATTTTACTCGTGTTATTAATAATAACACGAGTAAAATAAACGCGTTTATATGTAGTCCAAAAAAAATTTAAGATTTTTAAATAAAAAATAGTTGTTGTGCCTCACTCGACATAGGTATAGTGTAACGCGGACTTTTTGCCGATATTTTTTATATAAGATCTAC